CGTTTTTAACATTAAATCGCGTCATTGTGTATGACAAGTATTTTTTTTATCAAGACTTGGGTCAAGGTTCAACACACAACACTAATAAAAATATTTTTGTTCACATAATGCATGTCATTGTTAATTTACTGATAAGAAACATTGAAAGTACCAATTATTGTTACTTTAAAATGTTTTTGTTTAATGAACCCACTTGTTTATTACGGGCAGAAATAGATACAAATGTGATTAGAACTATTGAAATAATTTTCATTTATTTATTGCAATTCTCATGTAGGTATCCTTAATAATTCTATGTACAACCCTGAAATACAATATAAATCTTTAACCTAATTATTAAGATGTTAATTTTGATGATATAGTATATGAATTAATCTCTTAGAATAATAACGCATAGAATGATAGTTTCAAATCAAACGAACTGTCACAAGTGAGGCAAAAATCAAATTCACGTAGGCTAGTTTTAGTAGTAGGTTAATTTTCGGTTTTAGTGAATATTTATATAAAAATACAAGTTGAAACGCGTTACTTCCTTGTGGAATGTGATGTTAGTATCCATTTTATGTCTGTCTGACGTATTTTTACACTCATTTACCGCACATTTCGTCATTTTTAGCTAAAATTCTTGATCTGTTCGCGGTGCAAGTTGACCTTGAGCACTGAAGGCCCGCCAGCTCGTGTAGGCCCTTTGGGAGTGCTTCAATTTGCCTCACTTAGCGTGTGCAGGCTAAGTTTCTATGCGTTATTATTCTAAGAATTAATCATTAAAATAATACTTGTAATGAGTAAAAACGTTTATTTGGCAGAAATTGTTTTAGAAATTTATTACAAGTTTGTCACATTGTTAATTTTTAATAGATTGTTTAATTTTTTATAAATTTTTATTACCACTGAATTTGGGCTAGTGCTGTGCAATTTTAATTTTGATCCTGTCAGTAAAGACACACTATTTTTAAATCTTGTCTCTAAGCATCGTGTTTCATCTTTTAGCTTTGTATAAAACTGAGGATATTTTCTTATAAATGTGGTAGTTTCGAAAATATAGGTTTTCACACGAAGTACTTTCCTCCTTTCTAATGCTTAAGGTAAGTTAATAGAATAAGTACACTACGTACGCGTTTCCGAAAACTACATTCAGGCATTAGAGTTGGCATTCTTAGAACAAACGTATGCAGAGTCCATGGAAAGAATGATCAAAGTTAATTGAGAATTTAATTTGAAAAACTAAAAAAACACGATAGAAATAATTTTTTATTAGAAATATTTTCCATGGTACCTGAAATAAAGTTAATGCTGACATAAATGTATGTAACGCTATATAATCTATTTTAAGTAACAACATTCATAATTTTTTTTTGAACTTTTCAACTATTTAGTCGCAAGCATTTTTGACGAAAAGTAAAAGCTAATTTTTCAGGACATTGAACCTTATTGGCTTTATATGATTTAAGCAAATTACACTCAGCGTTTACCGAACTGGATGGCGGTACTAATTTTGAACATGTTTTAAGTGACATCGATCATTCTTTTCCTGGTCTCTTCATATACCATCATCGGTTACATTTTCGCTTCGCATCAGATGAGATTGTGCCTAACCGTGTGTTTAAGTTGTGACGGTGAGACCTCCCTACGCCGTCATCTCACCTTTTTGTATCGCCTCTCTCCGCTTGTATCCTATCATTTTTTATTTTAAATGTATTTAAATTTTAAATTTGGTATGTTCCATCTTCCTTCACTTTCTCATTTTGTTTTCGTACCACGGTCACTCCCAGCTCGACCGCCACAACAGTCGGAGCTGTTCCAAATTGCAGACTTCAAAATCTTATTTTTGATTCTTTACCAAGTTACAATACAAAACATAATACAACAGTCGGAGCCAAATAATTATCAAAAATTTGCTGCAATAGTTTTTCGACCAAAAGCCTTTAAGCCATAAACTCGGATGTAATGGTGCCGCCATTGAAACTCTGTCTATTACACGAATATAAAGATTTGTACAGACGCTTTCTGGCGCTTTTTGGCGCTTTTCAAAGTTATATTAAAAAGTACACTTCAAAAAACAACTCTGTTCCAAATTCCGTAAGTAGTCATTAGTAAAAATCACTATGAAAATTCAACTGAAAATTTAACTTCTCATAGGGTCATGGTACCAATGATCGACATTCTAAGAGAAGTTTATATTTAAATTTGAAATAACTTTTGTGTTTTTAAACACATTTCAATAGTGATTAGTTTACTTGACAGATATAGTTGTCAAGAATAAAAACCTATTATATAATAAATATATGTAATAATTATTACTAAAAACCTAAACTAGAATTTCTCTGAACCTCCAGTAATGTATTCCAAAATTTTAATAATTAACTAACCAGTAATCGACACATACCAATAATGAATACCCTTAAGAAACGTGCTACTATACCTACTGTGATAGAAAATTTTGTCCCAAATTTCTTTAAAAACGAGTTTAGATAACCGCTCACGCGATACATGCAGCCGTAGACGCATACCACACCTAGAGGTGCCGGTGATGATTTTATACCGATTTATCGGACATCGAAGTTATAACAGGTAAAAGAACTAATATTAATTGCTATTTCGGTAACTACTCTAGCAAACCATAAAGTTTTTAATGCCTGGATTTTTCATTTAAAAAAATAAAGAACTTCAAAATACGTCATGACAATCGTGAGTGTTATTGTTTGGGCTGGTGATTTCGGTGTTTATTTATTAAAAAACATACCGTCTGTAGCGTTTTTTAAGTTTACCCTGAATATAAATGCTTATAAACTATACTTTAAGGAGTAATTTCATGGGAAACGTTAGAACCACTCAAACGGAATATTATCATATTTATCCAAGTAGGTACACCAAAAATTTCATTAGTGCTTTTTGGGTGCAGGATTTGTGGTGTATTACTGCATTTTATTTGAGATGTTTTTGTTGGTAGTACGGAGGGTATTTATTTAGCAATGTGGAATAATCATTTTTATTTATAAAAACTTGTATTTAAACTGAATGCTTTTCTAATTTGCGAAACCAAATAGCCGCCATTTTGCGGTAGGAGGAGCGCATCGCGTAAGCGGATAAAAATTTGAAGAGAAGAGTTAAAGAGTGGTGCTTGTTGGTCACTGGTGCCACCGCTTTTTCTTAAGTTATTTTACTTAGAAAAAATCTCAACGTTCCAGGTGAAAAATGGCGCGACATGCGAATGACACTTAGCCCGGCGTTCACTGGCTCCAAGATGCGACACATGATGCCTTTTATGACCGAGATCAGCCAGAACGTCATTACGTATTTAAAAGGTAAGCCATACACTTTTACTCTAATGTGGCCTCATACGTTCTACTATTTTGTCGCTTTCCCATAAAATACCTTCCGTATTTCGTCAATATTGATAACCCAATCATAAATTTAAACAACAAACGGCTTTCGAATTTCTCTACCTCGAATAATTTTCATTAAGATGAGATGTTAAACGCTATGTAAAAACGATAAATTCATAGCCGATTTATTTAACTTTCTTATAGTTTTCCTCTAAACAAGGGGAGTAGAAGATATTCTAAGATCAAATTTACGGATTTCATATACCAAGTTACCTGAAACTGAATCTTTTTACAATAGCCACTATGGACGATATTCTTAGGTCAGGCGAAATTCCACATGGTCTGAAAAACCGTCTACATTCTCAGTGTGTTCTGCATACTATGATTTACGGTGCCGAGACGTGGACGCGCACGCTGGAGGCTGTGCATAAGATGAGAGTTGCATAGAGAGCCGTGGAGCGTGCCATGCTCGATATCAAGCAATATCCAGATTCGAAGTCAAATTAAAGTAAAGGACGTAGGCAATCGCATCACAGAACTGGAGTGATAGCTGAGTTGCGTCCAAGGGCTGGGTATAATAATGTCGGGCTTCCAGACACGAGATGGGCAGACGACATTGCGAGCGTCGCGGTGCGAACCTGGATGAGACTTGTGCAGGAAGGAGTGGCAGAAAATCTTGAAGACCTATACCCAGCAGTGGGTGAAGTCAGGCTGTACATTATGATGATGATAATGATGATGATGAATAGCCACAAAGACTTCATTCATCTAAGTCATAGGATTAAAATCAGAAACACAAATCTTATTACCACTGTTAACGTGCAGATCAAAATTATTAATAAAGGACCACACTTAAAGTATATCATATTAAAGAATCGTCATCGCAATCGGTGGTGATGTAAAGTGAAATTGAAATATGAAGTCAGTTAAAATGGGTCTAAACATTGACTTACAATTATATGGACGTCGGGTCCGCGCTAAAAAGTGTCCGCACTTGTAAGGCGCTAAAATCGTATACAGAGCGCCAAACTCCGCTTTAGTCTTCATTTGTTCTACTGACAGCGCGATACTGCGATGACATTACAATTTAAATTTCGAATAGGTTGACTTGGGACATTTTTTTCGTGGTTTTTGTATTAGACCCGTCGTCCATTTATTTGTAAGTCAATGGGTCTAAAAGAAAAACTAAACCACCCAAAAAAGCTTAAAACACACCTAATTATAAGAAGTTAAAATACTGACAACCATTTACATTAATTGTTTTGTTCATTAATGTAATTAAATGTATGCGGAAATCTAAGCACATGAAAATATAAACGCGAGGAAGTTCTTTACAAAATTCACCTTTTCTTAATATAATGCGTTATCTTTCCGCGAGTTTAATGCTAAAGACGTGGTTTGGTTCACCGCGGGATTACTTCGGAAGAAATATTATGAAAAATAGCTTCCTGTATTTTCAGTACATAATGATGTGGTTTTTGTGGGAAATTTAAAGTAAAATCTGGAAGCCTGGAAGCTTTGTCTGTGGTAATACGGCCTAGTGGAGATTTGTTGATGTTAGTAGAAGTTATTGCAATATATTTGCCGTCTTACAAATAATTTTATGGTCAATGGGAAAAAGAACTGTCTACTGCTGTTATTAAAGTACCTTAGCGTTACCTGAAAGGTATGAAATAAATATTTTTCAAACTTCAAATTCATAAGAATGTTATGTACGGACAACGGCACACCAGACTACACATTTTTGTTCGAATATCCACCTCCAGTGCAACGGAACAAGATACGTCAAAGTGTAGCTTGATGCGCAGGCGTGTGTACTATCCTAAACATCGATATGACATTATGAACAAACGTTTCTGAGAATCTTACTCAATGCTACAGTTTCAGTGGAACCCGTCTCAGTGAATTCGTCTTAGCAACAACAGCCCCAGTGCTATCATTCTACAGTAACAAAAACAGTCCGAGGAAATATCATAAAAATTCAATAAATTCTATGTTTAATCTTTGCAGAAAATCTCAAAGAAAATGAAGACGTAGATGTTGGCGACGTCATACGCCGGTACACAAATGACGTTATCGCGTCAGCCGGTTTTGGCATCGTCGTCAACTCTATAAAGGACAAAGACAATGAGTTCTTCAAGCTAGGCCAGGGCATCTTCAAATTTTCCGTTTGGCAGAGGATCTTGTTCTTTGTTGCCACTATGTGGCCAAACTTTTATAAGGTAATAATCGAAAAAATGATCCACGGCTTTGAAACCACAGCCGTTTATTTGCATAAAAAACACTAACAATTCAAACACATCAATTATGCGTATTAAATATCACGCAGTAAAAATATTTAAATTACCAATATACTAATGTATGAAAACTCATGTGTTTTAATTAAATTTTTATTGAATTGATATTCAATTATTTTTTGTGAAATTATTCCACTAGTTTGTTATAATTATTAATACAAAGATCGAACACTCAGAAAAAATTCGTTCGATCCGGCCGGATTCGAAACGACGTCTACTAGCATAGCGTGCAAGACGCTATACCAACTAAGACACGGAACGAACCAGCGGACCTCACGAATTTTTCTATGTGCTTGTTGTCGTGTCTTTGTACTTTTTTTTTATTCAAATTTTCTTTAAGACCGTTGGTTTTTTGGTCAAGTTCATAATTTAAGAAATAAATAAATAATTTAACAAATTAAAAATATTTTTTCTTAATTTTAATAGGATAATCAAATATTTAAAAAAATACCTTTATCCCTTGACTCTTTTAAAGTGTGTAATTTGTTCATTCTTGAAGAGGAGGAGCGTTTTTTCATATTTAATTGTCATGGTAGGACGGTTAGTATGCCCATGTATTAACCTAACTGAACTGTATTAACATAACTGAAAGATATTTCTCACGACAAAAGGAGACTGCAAACATTAACTGCATTATAAATAACTGTTAAAATTTTACTTAGGAGGATATTAATTTTCTGACTAAATTTTCTTGCGTGATTCAGAAACGGTCGTGACGGGTCCAACTAGTCGTGCGTCTGATGGTACGTGAAACGCCTATTCATAACAGTTGCAGTGCCGCTTAGAGCTTTAAATTGCAAAGAACTGAGGGGCACTGCCACTACGCCCGTCACCCTGAGACGTAAGTTGACAAGTCCTATGTGCCTATAATTTCACCAGCATTGTGCTGAAGATATTGTGCTGAAGGGGTTTCAACTTAACATGGGTTGCCAAATAAACTAATAATATTTCGATCCACGTTCAGCTCGATGTAAAAACCAGACTTTCGCCGTAATGCTACTAACGCATATTGAGTAATCGTATACGTTCCCACTTCGACAAATGTTACGTAGTTGAAAATGTAGAAGTGAATCGACTTCCTGGTTGAACTATCGGGGCTATCAGTGACCTCCCTTTTAAGAAAAGCTGCCGTCCGAATGGAGGCAGCTGTTGACCGATGTTTTTAAGGCCCTTTAAGACTGTTGCGACTTTTATCAATGCAGAACTCAACGATATAAAAAAAAACTACACCAATAATATGGAAGGGTAATTTTATCAACTTGTAGACTTAAGTATCATTATTTTAATTTACTCTTTGTTTGTAAACATAGAGGAACAGAAATATACGTATGCACAATGAAGATTAATGATTGTATTGATTTTACAGAAACTACGGTTACCGGTGTTCCCTAAGAAAACAATCGACTTTTTTAAGACAATGGTGACATCTACAATCGACTACAGAGAGAAAAATAACGTTGAACGTCCTGACATGATCCAGCTGCTGATGGAAGCGTCAAAGGGTTTGTTTGGTCTTAATTCTGTAAATTAATAAATTTAACTTCCGAATGTAGATAAATTAAGATATGTTATATAATTAACGAATGTAGATAATTAAGATAGCAGCATTTCATAGATTTGAATTAACGGAAGTATAATTAATAGCGACAGGTGTGTATTTGTTTTTATTTTTAACCTTATAGGACAATTGAAAGGCAACTCTAATGAAGACGAAAAAGACAGTGTTGGATTCGCTACAGTAGAAGAAGCTCTGAAACCACAGGGTGTAACTAGAAGTAAGTTGTTTTCACTTCAAAAATTACGAAGTATATAAGTATATGTATTTATACACATTCCTTGAAACAATTTTTAATAGTACAAATAAACAGAAGCAAAACTTCTAAAATATGACTACATTTTTTGCAGAATGGACCACGAATGAGTTAACAGGACAAGTTTTTATATTTTTCGTGGCTGGTTTCGAAAGCTCTGGCAGTACTCTGGTCATGGGTATTCACGAATTAGCAATAAACCCACATGTTCAGGACAAATTGTACCAGGAGATCAAAGAGTTCAAAATAAAAAACAGTGCTTTGACGTATGATAACATCAGTGAATTGAAATATTTGGACTGCGTTTTAAACGGTAAAATTGCTGCATTCTAATTCGATCTTTATAAAGTGTAAAGTTTTATTTTCCTTAGTTCTTTTTACGTTTACTTTCAATTACAGAAACATTGAGGAAATGGTCACCTGCATTGATATTGGATAGATGTTGTACGAAAGCTTACGAACTGCCTCCAGTTAGGGAAGGAGGCAGGCCATTTAAAGTAAGTTCCATAAATTAATTCCTAAAGAAGTTGCATATTCTATAAATGGTTCGTAATGATTTTTTTTCTATCTCAACGTTCGTGGTCGTACTGAGAACCAGTAAGAAACCTAATGTTTGGAACTTGAAATGATGCTTTTTTACAATGCTTATATCTAAATTAGTCCCTTTTGATATTGTAGCAAAATCTAAATAGTATTTTTAAAACGTAAGGCCTAAGACGAGGCGCGGATATGTTAAGATAGTATCCAGTGAAAGTCCATAGTCCCGTCAGTGACAGTTAGATATATAATGATACATTGCAAGTATGCGTGTGTGTGTAAAAACCTTATGATTTCTACCACAGTTGAAACCAGGAGACATTGTCTACAACGTGGTGAACTCCATCCACCTGGACGAGAAGTACTGGCCTGAACCGGAAAAGTTCGACCCTGACAGATTCTCTGATGAGAACAAACGTAGCATCAAGCCTTTTACCTACATGCCCTTTGGTGTGGGACCTAGGAATTGTATTGGTGAGTTGTGTTTTGTTGTAATAAATAACGCACACACTCAACATAGCCCCGCACTAGGGAAACCCTGTGTCGCGGGTGCCATGGACACACATATAGACAACCACAAATTACACCCAAACTCACGAGAGAAATAATTGTAGGCCATACAAATATTTCTCCCGGCCCGGGAATCGAACCTGGGACCTCTGCATGGTAACCGTTCGGCCACGGAGGCAGTTGTCTGACAATACTCCCTTTAAAATAGAGCATTCTTTGAAAGACTTACATAGTCAGCTGTTATTTTTGTATTCAGGCTTAGTTCAAATCAAATTGATAGTGTTTGTAACTATAGTATGTTTTCAAAAGTATTTCGGAAGATGCTGATATTCTTAATATGCTGAACATATTTTCTATTTTGAAAACAGGATCAAGATTCGCGATCTTGGAGCTGAAGGTTCTTCTCTTCGATCTAGTCTCCAACTACAAGATTGTCAAGTCTGAGAAAACCCTTGATCCGATCGTCTTAGAACCTTCTGATTTCAATATTAAGCCTAAAGGAGGCTCTTTTGTTCGATTAGAGAAGAGAGCTTAAGGTTTTAGCTGAACTTTAAGTGGGGGATTCTGTGGGTAAGAAATGTGAGCCCCACTGTAATAGTAATTGATACCATTTGTTAATTAACACCAAATTTGTCAGAAGTAAGACGCTATCAGATGAGTGTGTGGCCAAGCGTTTGAACCTTTGCTTGAAAATGGCTGCATTCAAATGCAGCCATTTTCAAGTCAGATATAATAACTGGTATTGTTACTAGTTTATTGTTATTTGTAGTGTTTTATGTCTGATCTATACGCCGACAACTATAGTGGGAAACCCTGCATTTGGGTATATACCCAATGTGTTTTTATTCCTGTTTAGAAGCAGTTGGTATTTCAGTAATAAATAAATAGTGTTCTATTTTATACATACAGGATGATTGCGGGATTACAATCCCGACCCATCGTTTCTGACTCGATAAATGATTGCAAATTCATGAATTTGGTCTTTTTGAAATAATTAGAGTAAAGGATTTTAGTAATAAATTATTATGAATGTAAAACTAATGCTGATATTATGTAGATACCTTATATCTCGTGTAAACATTTTTGAAAACATACCGAGTAAGAAATGACAAAGTTATGATCAAACAAAAAAGCAATTAAGCAATTTGACTAAACTTCAGATGACGATTATTAGTCTAAACACAAGGAACTAAATTATTTGTTTTTATTAGCATAAAGAAATAAATAAATAAATATTAAACAACATCACATATGTTGCTTTGATCCCGAAGTAAGTAGCTAAAGCACTTGTGGAAATCGGAAACAACGACGGTACCACAAACACACAGACCCGAGACAATATAGAAAAGTTACTTTTCTACACTAATCCGGCTGGGGATTCAACCTGGGATCTCAGATATGGCGACACCATGAAAACTGGTGAATAAGCCACTCGACCACTGAGGTCGTCAAATCAAGAAAGTTATTGCTTTGACGCTTTCAAATCTATTGCATTGTGTTCCTAATGCGATTGTAAGTCATAATCCACTGT